TTTTGCTGGACTCTAGGCAAGTAATATTTTTTTTTAAAAAGCTCCCCCCCTTCCTGAAATGTCATCCATTACATTGTATTTGCATTGACTCTGTCGTGTTTATTTTTTTTTGGGGGGGGGATTCTGTAATAGCCACATTGAATAACAGTCTCGTACACATTTGAAGACAAAAGAAGTCAAAATGCAGACACAGTTTATATTTTCCATTTCAGTGAAAGCCCTGAATCTTAGCAGAGGATTTTTTGTTTTTAAGATGCCTGTCCTTGTTCTTCATCTCTAGGAAAGATTAGCTCAAATTCATTTATCAATCACCCTGGTTGGTGATTAAAATGCCCAGAAGGATGTGTGATAAATGTGCAACAGCCAGACCAAACACAGCTTCTGAGCCCATGCAGGGTGCCAATATATCACTTCCTCTCTTGCACATCTGGCTCACACAGCAAAGTGTGTGATTTCCTTTGAAACCCCAGAACCTTCTTCTTGGCTGTCGTTGGTAGAGCTTCCTTGGCAAGAGCATTGGAGCAGTTTTCTAGTCCTTGATGAGCACATGGGATGGGGGAAGGAAAACACGATCTCACTGAAGACTCCTGGTCCGTTTAAACATTAATCTTCTGTGATCTCTTAAAAAAAGGCGGAGTGCTCAAGTCAAGAGGCCACTGCAGTCTGGACCTTGGACTCTAGACATTTAAGCAACGATGAAGCCGAAAGAAGGTAAGTTTCTCAGGATGCAGGGGCCGGGGACAAACACGCACAAGCATACCCCTCAAATAGTTCTGCTCGGATTTTTTAAGCAAGGTGTATGCATTTGCTAGAATTGCATGCCCACCCCATCCCCGGACGAGATCATTCAGATGCGTGACCTCTTAACCCCAGGAAAATCTGCTGTAATTCTAAGGTACCGGAGGATGTCTGTTTACGGAAAGCTCTTTTTCCCTGAAACGAAATTTCGGGGCGTGTGAATAATCGTGGAAATGTGAAATTTTGTTTTAGAGACTATATAGTTTCAAAACATACATAGTATCTGTTTTTAATTAAGTACCTGAAAGAACTTGGCACCGAGCAATGTTTATGCAACTTCTCACAAGAATTCGGATCATGACAGCATTACGTAAGGTGTGGTAGGCGCTGCAGAAGCAGGTTGCCACCTTTTCTTCTAGCGGGGTTCCCATGCCGGGAATAACTGCAGGAAAAGCAGAGATAGGGAATCATCTCGTCACTGAGTTCCAGAGAAGCTGATCCCACAGGAACAGGATCAGGCCAAGTGATTCTATTTAAGCTTGCTTTTTGTTTGCTTTAAAAAGGGAGGAAGTGGCTATTAATAGCCTCCCAACGTTCCTCGGTATAAGGGATCAGAAATTACGGAATATGTACAGCATATACTGCAAATATACACTAGGGTTTCATTGTGTGTGTTACTTTTCGGCCCCGCTGTCCTTATTTTGGATCAGGATGGGGAACGGTAGATGTTAGGTTGCATGGAAATGCATGTGCATGTTTACGAGTTTTAAATTCACGTGCACCTTTATTTATTAGTTTGTGTAACTTGCGCATTTGCTGCCATTGACTTCAGTCTGTGCATTTTTTCTTGTTTTTTAAATCTTCTGCACATTGTAGCCGTTTACAATTTTTGAAAATGCAGATTTTGGGCATTTCCTTGATTCGCCAGAGCATCTAATGAACCACCTAAATATGTGAGCTCTCAAGGTGGTGAGCATTTCTTCTCCAGAGTCTGAAGTCCCCTGAAAAGGTTGCAATCCATTTGCATCCTTGTAGGGAGGGAAAAATACTGTAAATCATCCCTTCCCTAGCTTCACCAGAGAATCATTCTAGAAAGCCCCATCAAGTTTTGTAATTCAGTGGGGAGGTTGCCCACCGGACCTTTGGACTTTTCTGAGAAACTGGTCCCAAGACTGAATCACTGAAATCTCAAAAGCTTACCAAGTGGCAGGGCTGTAATCAAGGCAGACCAACTGGGTCTCTGCCCCAGGGAACCAACATGTGGGGCCACTGCAATTCAGTGATGGATCTACTGGTTAGTGTTGGCAACAGCTCCCAAACTTAGACTCATTCCACCGGACCTTTGGACTTTTCTGAGAAACTGGTCCCAAGACTGAATCACTGAAATCTCAAAAGCTTACCAAGTGGCAGGGCTGTAATCAAGGCAGACCAACTGGGTCTCTGCCCCAGGGAACCAACATGTGGGGCCACTGCAATTCAGTGATGGATCTACTGGTTAGTGTTGGCAACAGCTCCCAAACTTAGACTCATTCTCCATTCCATTCCATTCCATTCCATTCCATTCCATTCCATTCCATTCCATTCCATTCCTCCCTCCCTCCCTCCCTTCCTTCCTTCCTTCCTTCCTCCCTCCCTTCCTTCCTTCCTTAAAGCATTAACTCGGGGGGGGGGAGTTATAAAACTATAAAAAGGTACAGAGTAATGTAAAAGCAATAAGCAACGTATATGCAGATAATTAAGTGAGCTGCATGAAAGCATTCCCCAATAAAATAATAAAAGCTAACTACTTCTGCCTAACAACTATTGACCCAGCTAAGTCATCATGACTTCTCCTGCATCTCTGTCCCCAATCCACCAGCGACAGACAGACAGACAGACAGACAGACAGACAGACAGACAGACAGACAGACAGACAGACAGACGGAAGGATACCACCTTCTCCTCTTCCCTTTTCTCTCCCCAGTGGGGTCAGGGGAAAGGTTTCTGCTTGGGTCCCATTGCCAGAATCGCCAGTTACGGCTCTGCCCACGGGTGAAGAGAAAGACTTTCCTTCTTCATGGACATCCTTTCTGCTCTTCCAAGGCTGAAAGCCCAATGCGAAGCCTTGGTACCCCTTCCACAACGAAAGCTCCTTCTGGAGCATCCGGTCTCTCAGCCCGGCAAGGCCATGCATGGAATTTCATTTGAGAAGATGAAACTAGCTTGGTCCACTTAGACGGGGAGCCACTATCTAGCATCTTTCTCAGTTCAGTTCTCTGAGTTCTGCGCTCTAACACTGTACTGCAGAATTTTGCCCAAATCTAGCATTCCATCTACTCCATTGCTGGTACTGGTGATTGTGGTAGCAAGTAGATTTCAATTGAATATCAGAAAAAAAACCCCTTCTTAACTGTGAGAGCAATACAACAATGGAACCCATGACTTCGAGAGGTGGTGAATGCTTCAACACTGGAGGCCCTCAAGAGAAACTTAGACAACTACCTGGCAGATATGCTTTGATTTCTATTTCTGCATTGAGCGGGGGGGGGGGG